AAATTTATCATTGGGATTTATGTAATGTTAGCTCACTTTTGCATTTAAGAGAATAATATCAAAGGCTTTTTCTCTCTTAGTGATGTGTGTATAGTCCATATGACTGTTTCTCAAGACAAGACTTCAAAACAAAATGTTGGCAAAGCTATGAAGACTTTTTGTGAGATGTTATTCCATCTGAGTGGACAGTCAGTAACAGGCATTGCATTGAGCCCAGCATTGCCCCTTGATCCAGTGGAACGAATGTTGCAGCTCCACTGGCAGCATTCTACATTGCTTTCTCTCCTTAAGTAAGTCCAAGAATGATGTAAAATGCTTGCATGCATCTTTTCTTTCCACTGTTTTCAACTAGCACATTTCAAACATGTAATTATAAGCATAGGAACTGAACATGAACTTGATGACTAGAAGCTCTCTAAAGCAGTTAGTAGAGCTGGATCATTAGTCCATGGTGTATCCAGACAGAACATAGAACACTTAGGTTTCAGCAAGTTGAGAACTTGTATTTCTCTTAAAAATAATTATCTTGCCTACCTGCTTACTTTACCTGCATTTTACAATTTCAGAAGCCAAGGAGCATACCTTGCTCATGTGATGCCAGAATTTCTGCTTGAACCTGAAGATTATAAGAAATGGATTAAAGTACAAACTGCGAGGAAGGTAAGTAGGTTGTTGCTTTTTTTTTCCTGGTTTGTTTTGTTTGTTTGGTATGGTGGGGTTTTCTGTTTGCTTCGTTTTATTTTGCTTTTTTATTTTTGGCAAAGATCATGTGCTTAGTGTGAATCCTTTGAAGACCGACAGAAGTCCCTTGTGGACAGGAGTATTGCTATTGTCGTGACTGTTTTGGAGTGCATAGATCTAAGCACATGCATGAGATTAAACAGAAATTTAGACTGACACCAACATTTACACTCACTTCCCCTGGCCTGTATTTTTTTTGTTTTTTTTTTCCATTCCTTCTGATGCTGTTGATACCTGAGATTAATTTCCAACTGATATGTTTTCTCAAAGTTGAATTAATTTTGCTGCTTTCTACTAATCTTATCATGACAAAAAAATTAAAGATCTTGTGTGTTGTCCCTGTTTCCTGATTTCTGCTTTCAACTCCTGTGGATTCTGTACTATGACTCATTCCTGAGATTGTGGCGAACTATAAATGGTTCTAATGTTGGTCACTATTGCACTATAGTAGATGTTGTCAGTAATTTATGCCATTGAGTCATTATTGTCCTCCTGTGAATTTCCTATCCAAACTGCTGAAATGTATATTGAAAATAAATCCCATACCATTATCTGAAGGGTCAAGTGGCTGAGTCAAAAAAAGATGTGAAAACCTCAAGCAGCTGTGACAAGCAGATGTTTGTCCTGGAGGACAATGTGTTTGAGACAATGAGCAAACGAGCTTGGACTGATGTGCTACTGCAGATATACAAGGTAAATTGGAGACACATTTGCTACTAAAATTCTGAGGAGCTGATGGTCAAAACCTTTGTTTTGAAAAAGATCTCAGCTGTGTCTCGTGTCTTGCCCTTGAGACCTTTCACCAACTTGGTGGTGCGAACGCTAATGTGTAAGCTCTTAAACCTTTTCTAATTAGAAAAACTTTTGAATTTGAAGTATTTTGGACCTGTTTTGTCCTTCAACTTGAGACTCTTTTTACAGTTCATGCTTTAAAACACTTTTTATCATTTCAGGTGTTTGTTCTTCGACGTGTTCCTTCCCATAGTCTCACTGACTCATCCAGCTTGGAGATTATACAGAACATGCCAAGAATAAAATCAGAACCTTTATCCAGTAATATATATTCTCCACATGAGCGAACCATCCTCACCTGGTTGAATAAACATTATGAGAAGAATCGAAAAATTGTGTGGAAAGATTGTGAAAAAGGTGAGATGATTCTTTCACTATGGTCTTCCTTCTAATACTCCTGCTAAAATACTCTTACTTATTCAGAGAGATATCATGACAAGTTGTCACTGGAAGTATTTTTGGGGATAAATTATTGTCTACCCATCTTTTGACCACCAGTTCTCATGATAGATCTTCTGTGTTCTGTATTAGCTCTGTATAAGTTTTTAACTAGGCATAAAGACTGAAGTGCTGTGAACCTTCTCACTTTATTCATTCCATTAATGACCTCAGGAAATGCTAACAGAGATATCATGACAAGTTGTCACTGGAAGTATTTTTGGGGATAAATTATTGTCTACCCATCTTTTGACCACCAGTTCTCATGATAGATCTTCTGTGTTCTGTATTAGCTCTGTATAAGTTTTTAACTAGGCATAAAGACTGAAGTGCTGTGAACCTTCTCACTTTATTCATTCCATTAATGACCTCAGGAAATGCTAACAGTAATTGCTTTATCTTCATTGTCCTGTTTATGGTCACAGGCAGATGTTAGTATTTGTGTTTATAGTGGTGTGTTTGAGACAGAACTGTTCAGAATTTTTAGAATAATTTTTGTATTTCCTTTATTCCTATGCTATTTAGGAAGGCAATGTAGACCAAGGTTCCAGATTATAAATCTTGTCCTACTTGCAAGCACAATTTGATGTCTCATGATTGCTTGAGTAAGGTTAGAAAAAATGGCCTTTTCAGTTTAAGACTGACCTAGGCAGGTCTGATATTCAAATCTGATAAAACTGTTCAACCACTAGTAAGTGCTACTTCTGTTTCCTTGTGTGATTTTTGCCTTTTGCTTCTTGGCCCTAACTTCACTGCCTTTTTCAGCATTAATTTTGAATGGGTAGTGAACAGCAAAAAATGCCATTCTGATGATGAGCAGGAAAGGCCTCCAGAATGGCTCATAAGCCACATGTGGAAAAAATTGTCAAGTGTCACTTTTGCTTTGAGTGATTTCTGACCTGCTTGAATTATGGATAATCTATTTGCATATTATCTTCCATAAGTGTCATTTGGGCATATTCTCTATCTTGCACATGCTTAGAATATCCCTTTGCTTTTCTTATTTTACTGTATTGAAGCAAATTACAGTGAATATTCTCAAATGTGTTGAATAATTCTGCTGATAAGATTGAAAAGTCAGTCTATACCCTCTGCATCCAATAGAAATAGATTTCTAGCTTTAGCATACCCTTTTCTTTAGCTTCTATTTCTATTTCTCTCATGAAACTACACAAAGGAGCATTGCTAAAGATATAATACTAAAAAAAAGAGAGAATTCTGAAAAATTGTGAAGTTCATAGTCTTACTGTTATACCTTTGCTTGTGGTTATACCTTTTCATTATAAATTTCTTAGCCATGTGATCTTATGTTGTTCTGTTCCACAGATGACCTGCCCCAATATCTCTTTGAATCCTCTGGTTTAGTCTTCACTTTCCTCTTACTTTTTTGCTTTTACTGCCTCTGAATTAATTGACATCTGCTACTGTGCTGCTTTTTCTGCCAAATGGGGCAGAGAATCTGATGGCAAAGGACACAGAAAACACTGAGGTACTCAATGACTTCTTCACCTTGGTCTTTTCTGGCAAGAGTAGTGCTGAGCAATCCCAGGCCCTCAAGATGAATGGGAATATCTGTCTGGAGCAAGGAAGACTAAGCATTTGTTTGTGCATTCCATCAGGTCCCATGGACTTGTATTTGTCCAATTTCTGTAAGTGCTCCCCAATCTGATCCTCCTCCACCAAGGCTGAGGGAGGGAGCCTGTGTCAATGAGAGGCCATGCTCAGGGACTTTGGAAAGGTCAGGACAACTGCAGGGAAAGACTGGAAGAGGTTTGGAAGAAATGTCATTCCTATTTGGAAGAAAGAATCTGGGAAGCTACAGGCCAGTCAGCCTCACTTGTTTGTTGGGATGGCGATGAGGTCAATAGTCTTTGAAAACATTACCAAGCATACAAAGTACATGCTCAAACCAGCACAACTTTGTTGTGAGTAGTCACCATGAATTTGCAAAGGAGAAATCATGCTTGATCAACCTGTTGCCTGCCATGATGACATGACCAGCTCAGGGAACAAGTGGAGGGCAGTAGATGTTTATCAAAATTTTGTAAAAAAAATTGCCACTTTCAACACCTTCCTGTAAAATCCTCATAAACAAACTGATGAAGTATAAGCTAGTTAAGAGGCCAGTGAGGTGGACTGAAATTAGGCTGAAGTGCCAGGCTCAAAGGGCTGTGGTCAGTGGCACAAAGTCTGGTTGGAGGTTGATCACCAGTAATGTCCCTCAGGGGTCACTAGGCTGGATTTTTTTAATTAAGATCATACACTGGAGAAAAGCTTATATATCTTAACAGATGTAATAGTCTGATATACTATTGGTCCTTTAAGTTTTATGATGTTAAGGTAAATCATCAAAGTTATACTTAGAAATTGTGACATTTTCAAATTATGTTAGCTTTACATTAAGTATTTAAACAGTTTTTTCAGAGGAAGCTAAAAGTGTCATAAGACATGTAAGTGTTCATACAGCCCAGATGAGAAGTCCCAAATATATTCAGGGTTTTTTTTGTGGTGTTTTATGCTTTGGGGGTTTGTTTTGCTTTTGGTTGTTGTTGTTTTTTATTTGTTTGTTTGGTGGGGTTTTTTGGGGTTTTTTTGTGTCATTTGTTTAATACAGTAATTTTAATAGAAGGGTTAAGTTTGGGCTTTTTTTTTTCTATTCTTACTACAGTACAGATCAGAGATCAATTACCACTTTTTGGTTAACAGTTATGTGCCTGCATGTTATCATCCAAACACTGCTTTGAATGCTTAGCCCTGACTAGCAATATGTCTTGACCAAGGAGCTACTTTCAGCTGTTGAGTGATCAATTCCCACTAAATAAATTAAGATCTATCAGGCCACATTTCTCAGTCTTTCCTTTGATACCTAAGCTACTTAAAGTGAAATGTGAGACAAGCCTAAGCTACTGCAGTGCAAGGAGGTTTCAAATATACATCTTTATTACTTCCTTTTAAAGTTGAAGATAACTATGTCATTTATCAGAACTCTTCTCTTGCAAGAATGAAGATCTCAATAGCTTAGAGAGAATATTAGGAAGGAGTTTACTATCTCCTTCTCTCCTTACTGCTAATGAAAAATAAATATGGTTTAAAAGCAGCTTGGCATATGTTTTGGGAGAGCAGTCTTGTAATATGTCTTATTGACCACAAACTGGAAAGCCGTGTTGAAACTTGAGTCCAAATGCTGTAAAACTGCAAAATGCATCTTAGCCTATTCTGCTGAGACCTTAATTATGCATGAAATATAAGATTCAGTGCCCACTTAAGGCATTATATGGCCCATAGCAATGATAGCAGAGGAAGCATTAATTATTTGAGTGTAATAAATTTCCAGATTACCTTCTACTGTTCCTTATCTTCACGTTTGTTGTCAACATTTCTCTCTGAAAGTCTAACTGCTAATAGTATGAAAAAATAAGAGTCAGGAAAAACCCTTAAAAAGTTGCTAGAGTATTGGAATGCTGTAATTCAAATCCTGTACTCCCTAAATAGTACAGAATTTTGCAGAGAGAGAGAAATAGAGAGAATCAGCAGTCCTGGTTGCAGTGTCGCTGATGGGATGTTCAGGGGGAGCCACTTGGGCTTAGTGGGGGTACCTTTTATGGATAGGTTTCTTGCTTTCTACGCAAGTTAGTTATCGTGTGCAGTCTGTTCTTTTGGACCCTTTGGAAATGGGTTGGAGGGCTTTGGGGGTCTTGGGTGGTCTTGGTCCACACCCCTTCCTGCCCTCCTCCCCAAATCCCTGCCCAGTTCTCGGCCTTGTTCTCATGATTTTGCTGTACTATCCTGTGCTTATCTCCAGCAACTAGAACAGGGATGTTTGTCCTGGAAAAGTGCTGCCCTACCTTCTCATGGCCCCCTATCCAGCCTTATCTGTTTCCTTTCCAGAGTATATTATTACCAAAAATCTGTGGTTATTGCCAACAACTCTTGTCTGTTATTAGATATCGCCAATAGTCCTTGGTTGGCTCCACAGCCATCTGTGTGTTGATGTCTGACATATACACATTAGCCCTTTATGTTTTGGGATTCTACACATGATTAAAAAAAAGGAGTGTTGAAGGTGACATTTTAATCTAGAGGCTTTCAGTACCATTCAGTGATTTTAAAACTAGTTATCTTGTTGAAAAGCAACAAAATGGAGACCAATATAACACTTCTGATGTGATGCATAAAAATCTAAGGAATTTGTCAATTTAAGATATCATTTGGGATAAGAATCAGTGAAAACAGAGAGAGCGTAGAGAGCCAAAGACTATTGGAAAATTTTATTAGGAGCAGAAAGATAAATGTTCATGCCTCAGGGTAAAAGCCTTCTGCAACAGATGGGAATAAATGAGATATATCCTCAGTGTCTCTGTTTTTCTGTGATTGCCCCATGTGGTACTTGTTGAACTCTTCTGCTTAGAATTACTAAGAAATGACAGTGGTATTAAATTGATGTCCCTGATATTTCAGGAGATCTTAGAATACTAATTATCAATTTAGATGAGCAAGACTTGGAGCATCCTGCCTGAAGTAGGAACTGCAATTTGCCTTTCATCTGTATTAAAACACTTCTTTTTTCCATGTTAAGATAAATGTAGCCACACATGCTGCATGTCCTGAAGGCAGATACATTATAATTCTGTTAATTTTAAATAAATTTTAAATAA